TTTGCTAAAAAATAGCATATAGAAGCCAGGCAACAGTGCTTTCAGCATTCCTTTTATGTTTTAAATTCTTTAAAGGTTGTGCTTAGTTAACATAGATATTGGATTCCTGCATTGGGGTCGGTTTGCAAGTTATTGGCAATCATTCGTAAATCTCGACACCTTTCATGATTTAGGTAACCTGCTGTAAGTTACCAAGTCTTTTGCCGTTAACTCAGAATGAACTGTTCAAAATCTGCCAAAATGGTAATTTAATTCGTAAACTACCCTTTGCTCCCACCTGTACGACCTTCGAATGTATGCGCTCAACGGTTCTGAAAGAGCATTCTGTATTGCGTCAAACTGGCAATTTTATGTGAGGAAATACAGAGAGACATAATTTAAAAAGGAACGTCGACCTGTTCTGTCAATAATGCCATGAGTATTTTTCATGTTCTATGTGAAGTTTCGGGGGATTTAACTACGGTGAGCGACTGCAGGAACCCCACTCAGTGAAAAATAACTAACTATGAAGATTCCCGAATAATTTTAAGTCAGATTAGCCGTTGCATTAGCGTTTAACGATTTCATTCTGCAAGGCGCATGCTTTCCGTGCAAGGAAAATTATTTATTCCTCTATTCCTTTAAGAAGATATCATTTAGAGTTCATGAGATTTTACATTTAGTGCGGACAATGTCATACATTTCACGAGGAGCATTGATAAGCAGACAGGTACGATGCTGTACGAGTGCACATTGGACGGTCTTAAAAATCATATAATTGAAAACTTTTTTAAATCTAACTATACTCTGTCTCCAAGCATAAAGTATAAGATTGACATGATTTGCCACCAGATGAGTAGAAGAAAGCATATTTTCATGCATGTTTTCTATAAAATATACAGTAGATGTGCTAACTCATGAAATGTCAACCAAAATTTCGAAATGTGTTCTCGTTTCGAAAAGATAAATTAAGTAGTGTTGTAAAAGTAATCATGATGCAGGAGAAATCTATAATGATCCAGTTACCTCAGGGTGTCGGCTTTCGAAAGAATTTCTTTTCGGCTGCATGCAAGATCTATACTCTGCAAAAAATGACTACTTAAGTAGCATGCGATTTTCACATTGATTTTCGATGCCCTTGAAATTTCAATTATATTTCATGGAAAAAATGCATAAAAATACTCATTCTTTTACTTATTCGGTAGAAAATCACGTCACTTGAATTTATATGACTATCAAAAATCAATACAAAAAATGCATGTCATTTAAGTAATCATCTTTTAACCAAGTGTGATTTCTGCAGGAGATCGAAAAGAAGTGCTTTCAAAAGCCGACCTCCTGGCAAATCCGAAATATTATTGTATTATGTCGCACGATAGTTTGTATTACAACCCCGTCCACGTAATCCTTTCAAACCGAAAACGCATTTCAGAATTTCGGCCAACATTTCATGAGATCGGTCACTCACTGTATGTCTGTAGGCAACTGGGAAAACTGCTGCTGCTGCTTCTACTTTGTTGGACCACAAATAGGGAATTCTTCGACTATCTGAAGGATGTTCACCGATGGGGCTACACAGAACACGCTCATCAACAGCGACTGGCCATAGGGAGGTTGCCGAAAAAAACAAGGGAGACCGCGGCGGTTATTTCCGGCTGATTATCTGTCGGCAGCCAGCCTTGCCCAACCCCACATTTTGCCGAATCCGAGGCTCGAACTAGCACTCTCTTGGTTATTGAGCCAGGGCTCTAGCCATTGGGTTGCGAGTTCGTTGTCCTGTCGGTCGGTCCTGAGCCAACAGCCGTATGATTAGAGCGTTGAATCAATAGCCAAAAGAGTGCTGTTTCGAGCCCCAAAACCTGGGCTGGGCTACGACAAGGACTAATAAACAAGACATCGCCATCCCCGGCTCGCTCTACAAACAATTAGTCGGTTAGATGGTAGTTGGTAGCCCTCCCGGTGCCGAAAACTCCCAGCTACCTGTCTTACGGGACCGGTGGTAATAGGGGCTATACGGGTGGGGCAAATGAGTGGAGACGTAAGTGGCGCTGGTAGTGTATGCCTGGAATTGACGCTCCTGCTAAAGTGACAGCCTAATTTAAATGAGGTGAAAAATGCAAGAAGGGTATGGAAATGAGCATGGTTAATTAGAACGGTTTGAAGCATTTTGTCCCCGGTACGAAGCTGAAGTAGGCAAGAACGGCAGGATTTATTGGCACCAAAAAATTTCGCGACTGCTCTTCAGCTGCTTCCTGTCGCTTCATAAGAGGGATAACGAGTGAGAACAATACAACAGATTTGAATTCATGCAGAAAATCGATGCAGAAACAGCGGCGTTTGTGTTACTAACCTTATCGATTAGCCAACTTTGCCCAAAACCCTAACCTTGCTGTTTCTGCATCGATTTTCTGCATGAATTCAAATCTGTTGTATTGTTCTCACTCGTTATCCCTCTTATGAAGCGACAGGAAGCAGCTGAAGAGCAGTCGCGAAATTTTTTGGTGCCAATAAATCCTGCCGTTCTTGCCTACTTCAATTAGAACGGTATGCGGACTCTGCAGGAGATTTGGAGTAAAAAGACCCAAGGACGCAGGCAAGCCGACAAAATGGAGACCCGCGCAAACCGCCTAGGATGGTAAGGAGAAGCATGATAAATCATAATCCGCCTAGGATAAATCTTTCGCCCTTTACTAAAGCTTTACGTGTGGGAGGTGCAATAAAATGAATCTATGTAGGCATTTTTGCAGCGCCTCTTTCTCGGGGCGGTTAAAGTGAACAAGAAAGTCACCCTGACAGGGCTTCTACACGTGCACTCCCAGACATATTGAGGACGTAATCACAGCTACTGAAATCGTAGTGCCTTAAACTGGAAGTGCAGGAAAGGATCGCTAACTGGCAGGGCTACCAACTATCATCCCGCCAATAAGTCTTTACGGAGGGGGCGGCTTGCGTTCATCGATCGGGTTGCGGGATCACCTCACCCCGTTGTACTTTGGAGCTTAATCCAGAGACCTGCGAGCAGCCGTACAGCAACTAGTAATGTATGCAGGGCAAGAAAACCGACGAAGAGAAGGGAGACTAGTGTGGCACTTACTAGCCTTTTAGTCGTCGTCAAGCAGCTCCACACTTATCTGTGTGCAAAAGACGAACAAATTTTATTGGAAAGCAAAATCCAATAGAACGGCCGTGTTTTAATTCAAATTTCCGTCAAGTTTTCTTAGCATCTTAAGCAGGCTACCTGTTCTTCTCGATCTAAGTGAACCAGACTTCGGGAACAACGTGTACTGCACCAACGTTACAACCTTAAAGCAAAACTGAGGAACAGTCGCGAATTTTGGACGTTGACTTGTTCTCCCATTAATTTCCTGACCAGGTTTTAAACGCGCATCGAACGCTTTGTCTAAATGTATTTATCACACTTTTGCTTTTGGCAGTTTACAGGTGGATGGTTCTCCCTTCCTTTACCCCTTTCCGACAGGACTCCAGCGATTAAAGTTCTGCATTAAGGGTTCATGTGAGAAGGATGTATGATTGCAGAAAGTTTATTGATCAGTTCCACGGAATGAGTACATTAGGCGTGCGTTTTCGTTTCTAAAAGATTAATTTTGCAGTTTTTTAACACTTATCAGCGTGCCGCATAATTCTATGATGATTCAGTTACCTCACGATGTAGGATTTCGAACGAACTTCTTTCCGGCTGCATGCAAAAACCATACTCTGTAAAAAATAACTACTTATGTAGCATACATTTTTCTTATTGATTTTCGGTGCCCTTAAATATTCAATTATATTTCATGGAAAACATGCATAACAATATTCGTTCTTTTGCTCATTCGGTAGAAAATTAGTCTTCTCCCAATTTCATACTCAGAAGAAAAGTATAATTCGGTTTAAAAAAGATTCTAATTGTGAGATTTTTTAATACCGTTAAATGGCCGTTCATGAAACGTCATGTATCAGCATTTACGAATGTGGCTTGTAAAGTTAACAATATTGCTCAAATCCACTGCTTAATTTTATGAACCTCATATGGTCTCCTCTTAACACCGTAGGGCAATGCATGGTTTTCCGTACACGGAAAATATACAGCTTGTAGTTTGGAAACCCTGAATGCAAGTGTAACAGCAGGTAAGGTTCAAAATTATTAGGGAATTAGAAAAGTTTTTTAACACCGAATTATACTCTTCTTTTGAGGATGAAATTGGAAGAAGACGTGATTTTCTACCAAATAAGTGAGAGAATAAAAATTTCTATGCATGTTTTCCATCAAACATAACTAAATTTTCAAGGGCATCGAACATCCATGAGAAAATTGCATGCTACTTAAGTAGTCATTTTTTGCAGAGTATAGATCTTGCATGCAGCCGAAAATAAGTTCTTTGGAAAGCCGACACCCTGAGGCAACTGGATCATTATAGATTTATGCTGCATCATGGTTACTTTTACAACACTACTTAATTTATCTTGTCGAAACGAGAACGCATTACGAAATTTTGGTTGACAGTTCATGAGTTAGCACATCTACTGTAATTAATCTTTTCGAAACGAAAACGCGTTTCAGAATTTCGGTTGACATTTCATGAATTAGCCCACCTACTGTATTTTTTTCGCCTAGCGAATCGTGCAATTTGGATAAATCGTCGGATTCTTATGGCTTGTTCGCATATTCTCTGGCTGACGACGCCATATAAAGTCAGATGTCGAACTCGGGGTAGCTCTGTGCCGAGAGGTCACTAAAAGTACCGGGTCATGGACGCGTTGGGCCTGATACTCTGACTCACTCAACATGTGCAGCCACCATTTTGTCTGAAAGCGGCACAAACATTGGGTGCATGTTCTCAGTGGAGAAGTTTTCCAGAACTTTCCACAGCTTTTGGTCGTGTACACGGCTTCAAACTGGTTTTGAGATGTATTTTTGCGAGGCACAAGCCGTCAGAGAACTGTAGGTCTGAACTCTGATGTTCGCCCGTCTGCCAGACAACAAAGCGGTCCGTGTGTGAGGGTGAGGTTTAAGATCAGTCCTAGAAATAAACAGACGCAAGCGTATCAGAGGACTCTGTCAGATAACCTGAAATTGAAACAAAGAACACAATTTCCCTACCATTGCCACTTTACTGCACATCGTTGTCTACATGGAGACCAGTGAGTACTTGTATTTACGAAATTTTCGGGATTTTTATTCGTGTGGATTAATCTGAGCCCAGTTAAAAAGAATTCTACATAATACCCAAACGACAACATACTTTAATTTACTAAATACTTGACAGTCCAGGACTGATACTGATACTGATTTAAAGAGCTTGTTTGTTCTCTCCTCTAACCTTCAGATAACAAAAATTTCAAGCGGTTTTATGTTACATCAACGCGAAACCAAGCTCCACACGAGTACGTAGATGCATTCTGTTTGAGATGCTGTTCCGATTAGGATGGATTTCTTCGATGGGATTGAGATATTGATTATCCTGCGGCATAATCCCGTAATATTTCGAAATCGTCAAGATTTTGGCTTTTAAATGTTCCTCTTTTCGACTCGGTAAAAAAGTGACTACTTTAGTGGTGTGACCTTTTAATATTAGTTTTCGATTCCTTACAAATTCGAATACATTTCATAGAAAACACGCACATCAGGATTCTTTCGTGTACCCATTTGGCAGCAACTTTTGCTTTCTTAAAGTTTATATTCGAAGAACGAGCATTTTTGAGTTTGTAAGAGGTTTTTTCAATTCTTAAGGAATTTTGAGTTAAATCCGCCGCACATTTGAGAAGACGTCATGTAAAGCTCATAAAATTTCGCACTGCTGTATGAATGGACATTTCATTGTCTTAAAAATCTCATATTTTGAAACTTTTTGAGACCAAAAAGTATTCTTTATTTGAATATGAAGTTTAAAAAGACCAGCAAGTACGGGAATGAATATTTTGTGTGTGTTTTCTATGAAAATATATTTGAATTTAAAGGGACAACGAAAATCAATGCGAAAAACTCAAACTCCTTGCATAGGCATCTTTTACTATTGTAGGGGGCGCTCGCCAATTGTTCTTACGGAACTCATTAGTGCCTCTGTGCTTTACGGGCTCTCTCGAGCCCAACCAGCAGCCGCACAGCGGCGCATGATATAGGCAGTAAGTTAATACCAACAAAGACAAGGGAGACTGGAATGGCCATTTCTGGCTTGTTAGCCATCGTCAGCCAGTCATACCCAGCCTAAAGTGCGGCACAGCCGAGGCTGGAACTCGCGCCCTGTTAGTTAGAAGTCCACGCCCCTAACCACTGGGCTACGAGCCCGTTGCCCTGTCGGGTTCGATCGGGAATATACAATGGTAGGGGACGTTCACCGATCTTTCTTACGGAACTCACTCGTTCCGTAAGAATACACTTGGATTTATACTTACATCGAGTACAGGAATGAAAATTTTGGGCGTGTTCTCCATAAAATATAGTTACATTTAAAAGGACGACGAAAATCACTGCGAAAAACTCGCACTCCTTGCATAGACGTCTTTTACGAAACGAAGGGCAGTCAAAAACCAGCGCCCTTGCATATCTAATACATCCTGCAGGATAATCAGTATTAAAATCCTACCTAAGTAATCCTCCTAGTCGAAGACTCATTGCAGAATTTCGGCTAACATTTCATGAGATGGGTCACTGACTGCAACCATTCTGTTACTGAAAAAGAACTTTCGTCCATTGATTCTTGCTTTCTCTGCGCGTAGTTTCAGGGGATGACCGCGCAAGTGGGCGTGTTAGCTTAAGTGAAACAATCAGTAGAACCTAAACAACAGTCTAGGCTGTTGATGATGCGAAATGTTAGTATAAGGCCACCACGCAATTGCCTGTAGGAAAGGGGGAACAGGTTGAGAGTTGACAGTCTGGTTTAATAGGACTGTACTCCCAGACCTTGTGTCATTTTGGTCGCCCGTCTCTGGACCTTCTCCAAGACGGTATAATCCTTGGCAGTCAAAGTTCTTCACGCGTGTATGGCGTATTCTAGATGAGTCCGCACGTAGGTGCCAAATATTTTGGAAAAGCAGTCAGGGTCAAATCCCATAAAGGCTCGCCTAATGAGTTGCAATGTGGCCGTAGCCGATTTAGCCGCCTTCGCGCAGTGCAGTGGTGGTTTGAGTGAAGATGTAATCCATACACCCAAGTCCTTCTGACAGTCAACCTGTTGCAGTGGTTTGCCGTCTAGAAAGTTAGTCCTGGGGCTGGAGGCTCTGAAGCTGCCTAGTTGAAGAAAGTTGCACTTGCATTTATTGAAGGGCATAACCCAGCGCTTCCGCCAGTCTTCGAGCCTGTTCAGGTTTGCTTGCAGGTGGTCTGCGTCTGCCGCATTGTGAATAACTTTCCACAATTTAATGTCGTCGGCAAACAGGATGGTATCACAGTCTAAGTCCTTGACGCAGTCATTTATAAAAACGAGGAATAACGTGGGACCTAAGACAGAGCCCTGTGGGACGCCACTCACCACGCTTACCTCTGAGGACTGTTGACGCCCGACCTGTACTCTTTGGAACCGTCCAGCCAAAAAAGCTCTGGACCCATACAAGAAGGCGTCCACGAATTCCAGCGTTGCGCAGTTTGTGCAAGAGAGGTTGGTGGGGAACGCTGTCGAAGGCCTTTTTGAAGTCGATGTAGATGGCGTGCACCACAATACCTTCATCGAGTGCTTTAGTCCAGCGGTCGAGCGTAAAGAGCAGATTCGTGAGGCAGGACCTACCACTTCGAAAGCCATGTTGTGCATCCGAGAGGAGGTGGTGCTGCTCGAGGAACTGCCTCAAGGCCTTCTTAATGATATTCTCTATGATTTTGCAACAGATGGAGGTAGGACTCACTGGCCTGTAGTTATTCGCAGACGCATGACTTCCTCTCTTAAAAAGCGGAGTGATGGTAGCGGATCTCCAATCAGAGGGCAGGCATCCAGTAAGAAATGACGTTTGGAAGATCAAGGCTAATGGCTTGGATATTTCGGGAGCTAGCTCCTTCAGCAGCTTGGCGGGGATTGCATCAGGGCCTGGGGAGGTCGATTCTTTCAGATTAAGTAACTCATTCCGAACAATTGCTTCGGTAAAGAATACGGCTTCAAGGGTAGGCGTTTCTTCGTCTTCACAAATGGGGGAGAAAAAATCAGGTTCACTTTTCACGAAGGACCGGAAGAATTGAGAGAGGTGTTCAGCCTTATCCTTGTCGTCGGAGATTTCCATTCCCTCGGCTGTTCGCAGCAGTGGGACGGGATTTTTGTTCCGTGTGCTCTGTCTTATGTAACTGTAGAGGACTTTGGGATTAACCCTGGCACGGCTCAGAAGATCCTTTTCAAAGGCTTTTCGATCTCTGGCGATGAGAATTTTGACCCGATTTCTCTGTAACTTATAACTGCTTACGGATTCTGGCGTTCGGTCCGTCAGGGATCTTTTCCACAGCTTCATCTTCTTGTTAACTTCCTTCTTTAAGGACGGAGTCAGCCAGCGGGGTCTATTTGTTAGTCTTCTGCGCATGATTGGCAGTGGTTGGAGATGAGGTTGTGGACTAACTCTTTGAACTGACACCAAACCTCTTCGACATCGCCGGATAGAGTGGATTCCCAGTCTATAGGACCAAGATCCCTTCTCATCTGTTCGAAATCTGCGCGCCAAATATTGGGTCGGGAATCGAGTAGTTGCGCAGGCAGGGAGAATAAGGTGTATTCCCACATAAGAACTTTATGGTCACTCTGACCCAACGGGGGAAGGCAATTCACAACGTCAATGTTGTCAGACGACTTGGTGAACACAGTTATCGACCAGCATCCTTCTTCCCTTCTCATGCGTACACCAAGATTTAGAGCATTCGCCTTCAGAGGACGACATTTTTAAATATTTCGTTGAACTAGCACATTTTTAGTTTGTTCTCACAAAGGATGCTCAATTTTTATAGACTTCTACAGCTGCATGAGTACAACGTTCCACGACCAAACCACTGGAAGGACCATTGACTGCGAAGAGAACGCAAAGATATTCTTCTTTAGGTGATTCATTTGCATATTTCGAATCTTTGCGTTTTAGTTTATGATTTTTATGGACTTCTCATCGGAATGTATATGTTCTTCAGCATTTGAAATGTTGCCAGTGTCCTGATTGAGAGAACTGAGTCGGCAGCGTGCCTGGGCTTTTGCTTGCAGTTGAAAAAGAAACCGCAATCGAAAAAAAAATGAGTAGTCATTTTGATGTGTTTTCCGTTGTCAGCCAGGCCGATGAGTACGAGGGTTTGAGATGGGTTCAGCGGATCATCAAGGAATGAGAGGACATCCGTTCGCTGATACGGCTTCGTCTCAGGAAACATTGTTGTGTAATCCCTCTACTCCCGTAATATTCACTAACAGGCAGCTAGCAGAATACTCTACGGCAAGGTGACACCATACCAACAGCATAGGCATGCGCAGCACTTCTTCTTTGTGTTTTTGCTTAGTTAATTAGTTCTTTAAGATCCCTCGGATGCCTTTGTGTTCCTGGTTGTCCTGGGCAGCTCTCGGCCAACCATGGGAAACATTGGGGACATGTTAAAAGGAGGACGTGTTTCAAATATGCTTAAGCTTCGGGTTAAGGTGATACCAAACTAACAGCACAGGTACTAGCCAAAAGCCCGTACACGCGTGTTTCGCCGATATTCTGCCGCTGCATGGCGCAACTGCGAGGAGTTCGGCTCGTCAGTGGGCCCTCCAGCATTCCCCAAGTTCGTAGATAATTTCTGAGGAAATTAAAAAGCGACAATTTTTTAAATTGGAGTATCTACCCGGAAACACACGGGGAATGCTGGGGGACCCAATGACGAGCTGGACCCCTCGCAGCTGCGCCATGCAGCGGCAGAATATCGGCGAAACACGCGTGTATGGGCTTTTTGCTAGTACCTGTGTTGTTAGTATGGTATCACCTTAGCCTGAAGTATCACTATTCATATCCTGTGTTCAATTCTTACCAAGGCCGCTGAGTTTTTCACAATTTGATCGGCTGGCTGTATTTATTTAACAAAAATTTGATTTTCGTGGAGTTCAAGTTTCCTAGGAGTTTCACCTCTGACCATCAAAAGAGGTCTCCCGAACGTTTTACTTTGCATTCCCTGATAAATGTACGGTATTGTTAGTTTGGCAAAACCGAAGGTGTACGGTTTTAACATCTGCAAGTCTACATTCTGTGTATTCAATAAAAGTTTACGGGTGAATGTTAATTATCGGGAAGCCGAAAAAAGGGTACATCCGTTATCTCCTCTAGAGTAAAGTGATAATTTAATTAAATCATGTCTCAAACGGTCTTGTGCAGTGCTTTCTACATTGTTGTCAGCTGCACTGAATTTTCTTCCAGTACGACGCCTAATGGCGCTTGTTTAATTTCCTTACTTGAGTTTTGACTAATTCGATGACACCTATATCTAACAGCTGAAAGCATCCCTGCAAACACCGACTGACTTCAAAAACCTTTGTTGGGACTGACTTAAAACTGGCCTTGACGAGGGTACCAAGAGTTTAGGTGAAAAGATTATGTAAGCTCGCAAAATTCAGTGTATGAAGTCAACTGCTTCCTGGAAAGCACTTTTGCATAGTTGTGGCAGCATCATATTCGCAGGTTCAGCGGATCATCAAGGAATGAGAGGATATGCGTTCACTGATACGGCCTCGTTTCAGGAAGCATTGTTGTGTAATCCCTCTACTCCCGTAATATTCACTAACAGGCAGCTAGCAGAATACTCTACGGCAAGGTGGCACCATACTAACAGCACAGGCATGTGTAGCACTTCTTCTCTGTGGTTTGCTTAGTTAATTAGTTCTTGCAGATCCCTCTGAGGCCTTTGTGTTCCTGGTTGTCCTGCGCAGCTCTCGGCCAACCATGGGAAACTTTAGGGACATGTTAAAAGGAGGACGTGTTTCAAATATGTTTAAGCTTCAGGTTAAGGCGATACCAAACTAACAGCACAGGTACTAGCCAAAAGCCCGTACACGCGTGTTTCGCCGATATTCTGCCGCTGCATGGCGTAACTGTGAGGAGTTCGGCTCGTCAGTGGGCCCTCCAGCATTCCCTGTCTAATTTCTGGTAGATACTCCAATTTAGAAATTGTAGCTTTTTAATTTCCTAAGAAAGTATCCACGAAGTTGGAGTAGGTCAGTTTATTCAAGGTCTATAGGCTCAGACAAAAAAATTTATTTATGAATATTTGGGTCAAAGCGACAATTTCTGCATTGGAGTATTTACCAGAAAACAGACGGGGAAGGCTGGCGGACCCACTGACGAGCCGAACTCCTCGCAACTGCGCCATGCAGTGGCAGAATATCGGCGAAACATACGTGTATGGACTTTTTGCTAGTACCTGTGCTGTTAGTATGGTATCACCTTAGCCTGAAGTATACTGCTAGCTGCCTGTCGGTAGTTAATGAATATTACGCGGTAACCCGCCGTGCTTGATGGACTTTGGCCCAAATATTCATGCATAAAATTCCCAGTCTGAGTCTACAGACCTTGAATAAACTGCTCTACTCCAACTTCGTAGATAATCTCTGAGGAAATAAAAAGGACAATACTTAAGTTTAATCACTTTTGAATGAAACCACTTTCTGGTTCAAATAACTGGTCAAAATATAATAGACCATTCTAAAAAAATTCCCCTTATTTGTCCTAGGCAGAAACACTCAGCTTTCCCTAGGGTTTTGAAGATGAACGAACTTTCATCTATTATTGTGATTTTGATCGTCGTGGCTGTCTAGAAGCCTTGGGAGACCGAAGCAGTTGGGTTATTCTGGCTTATTTTTGTCAGTTTCCGATGGCAGTGTCTAAGTAAGTTGTTTTCCCAAATACTGTCTCTCGGAGTATGCGAGTATTTGCGAAACTACAGACCACAAAGCGCTCAGTAGCTCTCCTTCAAATCAACACACTGGTTTCTACCTAGGTCGTATAAGTAGCTATATTTGACCTAATGAATTAAATCCGTGTTTCATAGGAAGTTTAAAGAGTTCAACTAAAATAAAGCCCATGGATGGCCCAGTTTGCTATTTTGGGTGTGGAAGTCAATGTTTTCTTTGAGTGGGATGAACCTGGACCTGCCTTAAAATTCAAGTCTTGAGACCGACACAAATGCCCGAATATTCATCAAAACTGGTGAGAATGCGACTCCCAGTTGGCATATCAAAAGGACAAGAAGTAGTATGTTATTATCGACAAAGACAAAGGGGATTGGATTGGCCATTTCTGGCTTATTAGCCGTCGTCAGCCAGCCATACTGAACCCCGAAGTGTGGAACACCCGAGGCTCGAACTTGCGACCTGTTAGTTAGAAGTTCATGCCCCTAAACACCGGGTCGCGAGCCCGCTGCCCTGTCGGTTTCGATCGGGAATAGTCGATGGTAGGGGGCGCCCACCAATCGTTCTTACGGAACGCACTCGTTCCGTTGTGCCTTATAGGCTCTCTCTCGAGCCCAATCAGTAGTCGCACAGCGGCGCATGATATAGGAATTATGCAATTACCGACAAAGACAAGGGAGACTGGAATGACTGACGACAGCTAAAAAGTCAGAAATGGCCATTCCGGTCTACCTTGTCTTTGTCGGTAATAGCATACTGCCTATATCATGCGCCGCTGTGAGGCTGCCGGTTGGGCTCGAGACAGAGCCTATAAGGCACAAAACGATCGGTGAGCTCACTCTACCGAACAAACAGTGTTCACCGGGAGAGGCTCATGGAGGTCGGATACCTCAACTACTTATTTACCTTTCCAAATTGGAAAAACATGCGCACAGCTCTCAATAAATGACGCACTTGGCGGGCTACGCGCCAAGCAAATTCCGCTTGTGGCTGCGTCAGACCCTCATTTTATCGGGGCCTGTGTCACCCTCCCCCTCTCGTGGATCGCGGACATAAAGGACGTTTCCCCTGCGCCATTCGGATTAGGACTTGCCCACAGACCTGACTCGGCAGTCTGCTGGCAAGTTATGTCGGCCGTTGTCTACCGACTTCATTGCAGCTGCAGGGTGTGCATCTACGATGGGAAAACCGACCGGTGGCTGCAAGCGTGAATTTACGTGCATCAGATGTCCATGAATAGTCTGGACCCAAAGTCGGAGGTAGCTACCCATGTCATGCAGACGAAACACATACATATTCACCTCTGACGCCGTTGAGATCGTGGGCCGGGGCGAGGATCATACCAGGCGCGTGCGCTAGTGGCGGATAGTGGAAAGGTCTTCAGCGAAGGCTAACCGCGAAGTAAACGGACTCTCGGATCTGGCGAATAAACAGTCGCGGACCGGCAGCGATGGTGTGGTCTAGCACGCCGATAGCTTTATAAAATGCCGCAAAACCCGATGACGGAACTGTGGCATGGCGACCGTGAATCGCCATTAAATATGTTTGCTTGCCACTGCTGTCTTGTGGTTATTTTTTGAGCCAACAGACTGGAGGAGACAGCCT